CGGGGGCAGGGGAGCAGCAGCCCCTTTGGCACGGGCTGGCCACAGACGGCCCTGCACACCCAGAGGGACGTGGTGCCCATGCTCTGGGGGCGGCAGCGTCCTGCGGGGGGCTGGGCCTGGGGGTGCTGCACCCCCTGGCTCAAAGGGGTTTCCACTCTCTGCAGGGCTCACAACCGGGGTCAGTAGCTCTCCGCACCCCACTGCAGAAATGGCTCCAGCGCCGGGGGGCCGGGGGGTTGGCTGAGGAGAGCTCTTGGGCCGGGGGGACCAGGGCTTCGAGCAGGGCGGGCATCCCCCTAACGCCCACGTGGCCCCCTTCGTGAGAGGGGGCTGCGGCCCAGGGAGAGAGACTGACCCACGGTCCCACTGGAAGCCTGGCAGAGTAGGGACTCGAACCTGGTACCGGCGAAAGCCAGGCCAATGCCGGATCAGCCGCCCCCATCGACGCCTGGCAGCGGCGCTTTGAGGATCAGCCTGAGCGCTGGGTGCTCAGGCTCCCGCCCGTGTCCTCAGGCCTGGAGAGGGACAGGTCCCCGCAGAGCCGCCAGCCCCTCCCAGTACAGGGGGGTCACTGCTGAGAGCAAGACAGACTAGCTGCTCCTAGGGAGGGGCTCTTTGGGGGGAGTGGGGAGACAGCTGCTCTGGGGGGCTCCAGAGCCACAGGAGGCCTGTGGGGCCAGGGAGTGCGGAAGCCCCACGGTGTGAAAGGAAAAGGTGGCGAGCTGCCCTGTGTGGCGGGGCCCAGCGTGGCAGCTGCGCCCGGTCTTCGTAGAGCGCCCCCTTGGGGTTCTTTTGTGTGGACACAGCCCAAAGCAGATAGTGTCTGGCTGAACTTGTCTTACTATTGACAAGCACCTTTTCCCCCACACCTCTGGGGGTGCCTGATTTTCGCCCCACCTCTTTCCATCCCTCCACGCGGGGAGGGAAGCAGTCAGAGATGCGCATGAGTTCTGGCTTCAGTCCTCTGCCATGTATCCGTCCTGGGGAGAGGCCTCCGGGGTGATGGGCGCCCGCTCTAAGGAGGAAGCTGGCGGCGTGTCTGGCCAGCAAGGGCCAGCCCTGGCTCTGTGTGCGAGGCTTTGAACACATTCAGGGCCTAGGGAATTGCCCCAGGGCAGGAATCCCGTCGGAACGGCCCCCTCCGCGGTCCCAATGCAGGTCTCCCTCGTGGCGGTCCAGTGCTGCTGTGAGCCGCCCGGGGCGGCTGTGCCCTTCGCTGGGATATCGTGAGCTCCCCGTGCTCCGCTGTTTGAGCGGCGGCAGGGCCTGGGTTGCCACAGAGCAGCACCCCGGAGGATCACAGCCCGGCCTTTGTCTTGCTCTCTCAGCGCACTTCGACTACCAGTACGGCTACCGGAAGTTCGACAGCTCGGAGGGCTCGCGCACCCAGAAGTACGCCAGCAACATCACCTACTACTTTGATAACGTCAGCAGCACGGAGCTGTACAGCGTGGACCAGGAGCTGCTCAAGGACTACATCAAGCGGCAGATGTAAGTGCTGCCCCGGGGGCTGCGGAGGGGAGGGGTCTCATTGCCGTGGGCGAAGCTCTGAGCCGACCGGGGGGCTGCAGTCGGCTCAGAACGTGGCACTGGGGTACCAGCAACATCACCTACTACTTTGATAACGTCAGCAGCACGGAGCTGTACAGCGTGGACCAGGAGCTGCTCAAGGACTACATCAAGCGGCAGATGTAAGTGCTGCCCCGGGGGCTGCGGAGGGGAGGGGTCTCATTGCCGTGGGCGAAGCTCTGAGCCGACCGGGGGGCTGCAGTCGGCTCAGAACGTGGCACTGGGGTACTCGGCCCCAGGTTTCGTCTTAGATCAGTGGTTCTCAAACTTTTCGGCATCACACCCGATTTTTGAGAAACCCTCATGCTCTCCAACGTGGACGCACTGGAGAGGGTCCAGCGGAGGGCGACCAAAATGATTCGGGGGCTGGAGCACATGACCTATGAGGGGGTTGCAAGGACAGACTTCCCTCTCCAGCTATCAGATGACACTATTTGCATTTACAAGACTCTCTTTACAAGAGAGGGCTGGAAAGTTCTACGATTAAAAAAAAAAAAGAAGATGATTAAATTAGCCCTGCCATTTCCCCAGAGTCATGTGGGCTCAGAGGAAGGGCTGCAGTGCTCTTCAGTTCTCTCACACCAGTATGAAAGCACATGGGCCACTCAAGTGACCAATGTCCAATGTTCCTAAAGGGTTGGGCAGGGCCGTGGCTGGGAGGATGGAGTTGGGGTTGGCCCTGCCTTGGGCGGGGGGCTGGACTCTGACTCCTGAAGTCTCTGCCCGCTCTCTGGTCCTGTGCCCTTTTAAGAGCAGAGCAGGCATTGCCCCTTTTAAGGTGGCCATTTTGAAGTCTGCACGGGATGCTGCGACTCCATCTCTCTCTCTTTCAGAAAGAAACACGCTGCCCCTG